CAGCTAAAACAATTCGTTATCAGGGCGGAAAATACAAAAGATGGTCGCATGTAACAGAACAAGGTTGAAAGTAAGGAAATTCTAAAACCTTTCGCTGTCTGTAAACTCATCCTAAGTGCAAAAACTGGAAACCTTCAAGCAGCGGATCGGTCACATTGGAACCTAAGCCAATCAAAAAAAAAAAAAAAAAAAAAAAAAAAAAAAAAAGAAAAAGAAAAAGAAAAATAAAAATGAATATTTCAGTCCTTATCAATCCATTTTTACTCAAAATAGTATTACCTTGATGAAGCATGTATTTTTGTTTGGGAGTGGTTTGTTTAGGTTATATGTGAGAATTACCCTCCACCATTTCGCTGAAAAAATATTTCAAAATATTTCAAATAACTTCTTCGTGTTACTCACTTAGCCTGTTTAGTTCAGCTGTAAACTTCAACAATATCGCACTGGAAATGTCCCTCTCTCTAGAATAAAACGTGGGAACCTTATCCGTTTTATAGCGCCAAGGTCAAGACAAGTAACTTAGTTGTAAATCATTCGTTGCTTTCAATAATTGGGAAGCTAAATTATCGGTTAACAGCCGCCCACAGTGGCTGTGTTTTTTGACATCTCCATCATCATAGTTCGTTATGGTAATTAGAGTGGAGCACGCGCGCAAATAAATCAATTTTCAGTTATTTAGCGGAAGATGCATGCGTTATTCGCATATGGCCGAACACTCTGCACTTCCTAGCTCGAATGGAAGGATATTCTTCTCGAAACGATTGCTGGTGGAAAATTTTAAGAAGAAAAGCCTCTGAGATCGTGTAACATATAAGGCCCTGTCTGGACAAAGAACTTTATCAGTGTTTACTTAGCCTCCTCTACTCTAAAAGTAAAAACACAAAAATCAAAATCAAACTTTGCATTTTTTTTCCTATTGCCTTAATATCTGTTCTTTTAAATTTTTTGGCGAGTGTCGTGAAAGATCTTAGATCAAAACCGTCACGTGCACTCTTCTAAGTATCTCGCAATAAGCATTTTAAGAGATATCTGGGTACGGTCATACTCGATAAAATTAGATTATTACAAATAGTGATGTCTCTGACAGTAAAGGAAGTATCATGCTGAGACAAGAGATTATTGGCAGAAAAGATAGGTCCCACCTACCTGTCAGGTAACAAGAAACTCAGCGGAGGGTATTGTCCTATCAGTTTATAAAGCTTGCCGCCACATCTTCTGTATAGTTTCTCATTTTCTTTTTGGTCGTATATTCGTGCTGCACGTATCCAAAGAGTTACGCCCAAATCATTACAATGAGACGTTCTCAACAAGGAATAGGTATGTAATACCGGCTGTTTGGTGTTTAATTTGCAGTGCATATATACTTCCGCAAACACTTTGGTCATTTTTTTCCAAATATAGGAGTTTTTGTAAAAAAAAAGTGTCATTTAATACTAGAGCTCTGCGAAAGATCTGAAGATGACATCAAAACCGTCACGCGCACTCTCTTTAGTATTTCACAATAAGCATTTTAAGAGATATCGCGGGACGGTCGTTCTCGATAAAACTAGATTGATATATGTGATGTCTCCGACAGTAAAGGAAGTATTATGTTGAGGAAATAGATTATTGGCAGAGAAAATAGGTCCACTTTCCTGCCAGGTTTTTCCTTTATCAGTTTAGAAAGCTTGCCGCCACATTTTCTGTATAGTTTCTCATTTTCTTTTTGGTCGTATATGCGTGCTGCATACATCCAAAGAGTTACACCCAAATTATTACAATGATACGTTCTCAACAAGGAATAGGCATGTTACGATCAAGTATCATGAGAGTTTATGGCTGTTTCATCATGGCTTTGATAACGTCGTAAAATTCCAGTATCAGTTGGTTTCCCGTAAACCTTCGTGTCTGGTCGGGGACTGTTTCTGATAATCATCATTCCAAGAAAGGGAAGTCTATCGTTGTTCTCAAGTTCCATTGTGAAACTGAGAGAGGGGGTGGATTTCATTCAGTGTTGACAAGAAAACAGAGGCATCTTGTTTTGGTTTCCCAATTTTCTTCAATATGGCACATAAACGCATTTACCATTAGTAGTACGAGGGGAGAGCCCATGGTAACCCTATCCACTTGCTCATACAAATTTCCGGCGAATTGGGAAAAGGTGTTTTTTTGTTTTGTTTTTTTTTGTGATGTTATGGGCATATTTCCTATTGAAACAGTTGTCTTAGAACGCTTTCTCTGCTTGGATTTCGATGCTTCATCAGCCTCTGTTTTCTTGTCAACGCTGAATGAAATCCACCCTTCATTCATTTCTACGATGGAATTGAGTGATGTAGACTATGTCGGCTTCACGAGCCGACACTTTCATGAACGTGTGGAGGAACACAAGCGATCACGTAAAAGACGAGCACGGAAAGGATCCCGAGACCATCGAAAGAAATTTCAAGATTGTGAAGAAATGTCAGAGCAAACTGGACTGTCTGATCTTTGAAATGCTTTATATTCACGAACTTGAACCAAAACTGAACAAACATAGTGATTTGATCCGTGCAAAAGAATTAACCTAATCGATTCACTTTTAACTGATTGTTTCTTTCGCCTTAGCGTTTTTATCATTCTTGCCTAGATTTTCTCATAATTTTTCCATGTAAATATTTTAGAGTTTTGGTCAGAATCTCATTAGCATTTTTACAATTGATTATATAGATAACCACATGATAAAAATGTGACCCTTCCACTTCAAACTGACCATTTTTAGGCGTATGATAAAAATTTTATCCTTTAACTTGAAAATGACCAATGGCAGTCGAAACGTCGTTTCTTTGAAAACTTAATATTTATAGTACATTCCCTTACTAAAAACGTTAAAACGGCCATTCAAATACACCTCTGAGAATATCAAGGTTTAATAATCACGGTCCATTAGTTGCTAGACTACAATATATCAAGGTTATGAGATTTCGTAGATTTGGCAGATTTCCTTGTTATTCTTTACGTAGTTGGTTATTGAGGAAGTTGTCAAAGGATCGTTCGTTGTGAATCGTTGATTAAAGATCGTTGTTGGTTTGAACTAATTATAAAATAGCGTAAAAATATTTCTGAGAGCAAGCGTGAAAGGGAATTCTAAATCGAGATTGGTAACATCCACAATTGATCCTTACAACTAGTAACACTCTTGATGAAAGGGAATCAGCGACTGGTTTTGCAGTTATTCCTTAGATTCAGGGTGTTACGGAACCCATCAAGAGAATTTTGAATGGACACAACGTTAGAGTTACTCAAAAACCTTTTCAGACTTTGGGGCATATTTTCACCAGGCCTAAGGATTCTGTCACGAAAGAACAACGAACCGACGCCATTTATTCTATCCTTTACAATGACTGTGACAACGAATACATCGGACAGACCAAACATCAATTTGGTACACGTTTGAAAGAGCATCAAAAAGCGGTTTTCTTTTGCAAAAAGGAAAAAAATTCAGCTTTATCGGAGCACACATGCCTAACTAACCATACAATTGGATGGGATAATTCTAAAATTATCACCACTAATCGGCGTTACCACTAGCGCCTTTGTTTGGAGGCTTGGCATGTTAACTCCGCCCACGCTTCTTTAAATCGTGATGATGGCGGTTTGCTTCCTGACCCCTATTTACACCTCGTCAGAAGAAAAGGCAGCTAATTAGAGATCATGTAAAAAGACCTCTTGTTGCAGCGTTTAGATCACCCCTGATGAAGGCACTAGACAGGAGTGTCAAAACGTTGGGTCTATGAATTGTAACTTATTCGGTTATATTCATTAAATCTGGAAACCAGAGTAGTATTAAACCGTGTCTGATCGTCCACATGGTTGCCGTGTGAACTTTAATATATATTTAAACCGCATTTATGTTTGCAGTATAGGCTAACACTCATGGGGTAATGCACATATGTTGCCTCTCAAGTTGCTCTGGCTTTTGAAATTCCTAAACAGTATACGAGAATGTAGAATCCGGAAATGAAGCACTAAGGTTTGACTTCAAAAGACATCTTTACCTAGTATGTTTTGCCTACCCACTTCAGGTCATGTAATAATACTCTAGCGAATTACTACATTCAAATTTCTTCTTACTCGCGTGCGTATGTGCCTATGATTCACAAAAGATAAGGCTGAGAATTCTCTTCAGACCTAAAGTTCTGATAAAGTGGGTAAGCAAAATGTACAACCTAAAGAAGTCTATTGATTTCAAACATTTATCTTTCGAAATTCGTTTCTTTGATGCTAAAAGTTACAAGACTATATATCTACTTTATACTTGATAGCCTTGATCCTTAAGTAAAGCCGCAACGTTGCCATGTCTGTTGTCTTTCTCAAGTGGGGTATTTCATTTTCTGCTAATTTAGTTCTAACAACGCGTTTTCACTCCAGAATCCTCTTTCGGACGACCTAAATTTAAAAAATTTCTAGGGGAGCATGCTACCTATTTACCAGTCCAAGAACTTCATTTCTTCGGCGGATATTAATCCGACCACCCTTACTAATCCTAGATCTGCGCTACGCTAATCAGTAAATTTACATCATATAATAAGATTTCTTTCCTTTAGGTTCTGGTCTGCTTTTTCTGGCACTTTCTGTTACTTATCAAATTCTACCATCAACGCGGGCATTCCCAATAGATTGCCAAAAGAATACTGCAGTCTGTTTGGAAGAAATAATGAAGGAAGTCACCCAAGTTCGATTTGAGGTTAAAATTCTCACGGGGAAAAAAACATTGGCGAGACGTAAGCACGATTCCTGTTCGTTCGTGTGTGTTACTATCTTTATTAACATTTATTCATTTGAATTCTTGATGTAATTTTGCAAGAGGATATCAACTGTTATTCCCTTGTATTTCATCAACAGCTAAGAACTGTGTTGAGCTCTATCATTCCGGTCAAAAGATCAGCGGTGTTTATACAGTCGACCCAGATGGCTCAGGCGCCTTTAATGTATATTGTGACCAAACTACTTCTGGTGGGGGGTGGACAGTCTTCCAGAAGAGAATGGATGGCTCTATTGATTTTAATCGCACCTGGAATGACTACAAACATGGCTTCGGTAACTTGGTCGGTGAATTTTGGCTCGGACTGGACAAGATAAACCGTCTGACACAAAACAAGACAAAGAACATGCTTCGAATAGATCTAATGGTAACTACTCGCCAAACTGTTCACGCTGAGTATGAATGGTTTGGGATTGGGAACGGGACGACTGACTACCGGCTGTACATTGGCAATATGACAAGTAAGTAAACCGTCTTTTTAAACATTCATCGTTGGATTTTTATATGTTACTTTCCTTTCGACGTCTAGTGCCCTATTCACACCAAAGCTTAAGAGTTGTTTTGCTAAAAACGATTTAAAATTGGTTTCTTTAGAGAAGCTGCCTAAACTAATGTTTTTCCACTTCAAATTTAGCCAATTGACAATACAAGTTAGTGAAAACTTGAATCCAATGGAAAACTCAGTTATTCAGTTCTCTGTTATTGATTGTTAATTCAATCCCCTCCCCCAACTCCACGTAACCTGCAGATAATGGTTTCAGTCTAGCGTTTGAGTGTTTTTTGCTGTTAATTCTGCCTATACCTAGTTAAAGTCCGCGCTACTCCGAACACAGTTTGCTTTCGAAGCTCCTTGAGATAGAAAAGTCATTGAACTCGGCTTTAGCAAAATCATAAAATTTGAGTATTAATTTTTTTTCCCGATATTTTTGGATTTCGTTTACTTCGTCGATTATCGGGTTTGGGGCGTCAAAAGTATTATCTTGATCCTAATATTACGGAATTTTCTTTTTTTCTTTTTAAACAGATGCAACTGTTTCCTCTGATTCCCTCAATCTTCACAAAGATCTCAATTTTGGTAGCTGGGATAGAGATCCTGCTAATTGTCCTCTAAAAAGGGGCGGAGGCTGGTGGTATGGCAGAAGTAGTAATTGTGCTGTTTCTTCGAATCTCAACGGAATTTATCCGCATTGTCGAAAGGAAACCTGGGCCGATATCTATTGGAAAGAATTAGATCCAAACAATCCCAAGGGCAACGCCCCCACATCAACTGAAATGAAAATAAGACCAGTGGATTTTTTGTAAAACTTTCTGACGGTAAAGTGTTCACGTAAATAGTGATTTCTGCGTCTTCTGCTCGGTCGACTTCGCTTTTTTTAAAAATTTGTGATTGGCAGATTAATGATCGAGTGGCCTTCCTTGATTTGATTGAATTCCGCCGGGGAAACATCATCGTTAACTGTTTCCCTCGTGACCAAGCATCAAGTGCAGTAATTTGAAACGGCAAGAAAAGAAGACCTGTATTTTTTTCAACGCCTTTTAATTTTAGAGGTTAAAATGTTTAGAATATACAGAATACAAAAAATGACAAAATCATAGAGTCGACTATAGTCGATCAAATGCGATTTTAGAAAAGAGTTTTTTTTCACATCAAAATTAACTCAGAAGGATTTATATATGTAAAACGTTCTAAGCTACTAACTAGAGTTCATGAATGTTTTTACTTATCTTCACAGTTTTACGTTTTCTGATGATATTTAAAGTTTCACAATATTAGAGCTGTCAATAAAACGAATTAAGATTGTGTCAAAAAATGAAACTTTAGGTATGCGAGTTTTACCGGGAGAAGAAATGAAGACTGTTATACATTATTTACGCATTTACGTCAAAAGCTATGCAATAGTGTTGCCATTGCAACCTAATAAGTCGCAAACCTACTATACTTGAGGATTTCCAAGCTTACACTGGTTTTTCATTTTCATATTTGGCAGTAAAGCTTCTTACGCACAATTGACAAGCATTTAAGACTGTAAAGTTATCGAGGTTAGTCTACGTTCCGGCCTGGTGTAAGTTGGGAACATAATTTTAGCAAAAATTGGTAAACAACTTCACAAGTTCTTTGTTTGCATACCTTGTTAATACCGGAAAAAAAAAAACCAAAACAAAACAAACAAACGAAAAACCATGTGTTCCAAACTAGGATAGATACGAACGGAAGGATTAAAATTTGATTTCGGTAGAGCAAGAAAATGTACTTACTTTGACCCTTAATTGTCACAGCACTGCACCTGATGAAACTACAAATTTATCAAAATGAACGAAGAAAAAGTCTTAAAATTCTCTCTCCAAGTCAGGGAGTAGCACAAATAGCAAACACCGAACTTGGAAAATCGTCATGAATTTTGCTCAAATCATTATATTGTCGGACTCTTAAAAAAAGATGACGACGGGTAAGGTCTTTCATTCGTTTTCCTCTCAATTTAAAATCTCTAAAATACAAAGCCAATACTTCCGTTTAAAAACGCGCAAAAACACTTTGTTTCCGTTTTTTATCGACTAACTTCTTTCATTTTGAGAGAAATTAAGAGAGTTTAAGTAACCTTCAATAAATCTGAATTACCAAGCATATTGGATTTAATATTTCGAAGAAAACCAGATCAAATATCAATAAGGCAATTATTTAATGCAGGATCCAATGCAAACTACCCCAAAATAACACCATAATAATTGAATGGCAGCCAGTAAGGAGAATTTCTTATGAGATTTTAAGAATAAAAGGCCGGTTAAGGGATTATCACGGCTATCACTGCACTGAAGAATCTATTGAGCATTAGAAAGGGGACCGTGAGCAAATGCAATCTTCCGTCATTAGGATTTCGAGTCCTAAACGTGCAAACAATATCAAGATTAGTTTAGTCATGAGCGGCATGCAGATAATAGAGTAGGATAAATTTAAGTAAGATGGATTCAATCAATGTGTAATGCGAAAAAAAGATTTAGATGACGAATAATGACATGGCGAATAATAAGATTTGACCCTTTACCTCGGAACAGGTTCTCGGCGAAAAAGCTTGCTAATGCTAAAGCGCACGTGTGTTAGTTATAAGACTCGTAGATGCTCCAAAAGGTTATCTGCAGTTTCTCAAGCTTTTAAGATGATGTTCTTCAGTGATTGACAAGGCACTTATGGAAAAAAAGACCTTCGAGTCGAACCTATAACTTCCCGAAAAATACTTCAGATGCTGTACCACTGAGCTATTGGAGACTCGTGGCAGGCTGAGCCGTTTATCTTTGTTCGTGGGGACAAACTTCCTTAATACTTCTAGGATAGGAATATCGACATGTGATGCTATTGCACAATAGTGATTTAAATGAAGACGTTCAATGTTAATCCTGGTAATTTGTTTTTGTGTTGTTTTCTTGTTGTCTCTTTGTTTGTTCTTTCACGACTCAAATATGATACGACAAAATTTAATAAAGAAGGCACGACGTCTCAATCAAAACACACCTATCGGCCAATGAGAGCGCGCGTATTAACTTATATTTTTCCTGTATAAGTTATTTAGGCGGGTATGCTGGCGCTTTTGTCTTTACCGTTAGCATCCGAGTTTCCGTGTGTCAATCTAATTTCTGATCTTTCGCAATGTCCGCTGGTGAGCAGGAAATATATTATTGCGGAATACCTCTCAATACCACCCAAAGGAAGAAAGAAAGAAACAAAAAGCAAAAAAATTTTCAAACATTTTAATTCTGCAAATTTGTCAAAATAAAATTTTCTGATTATCATTTTCTATGTTTTTCGTGAGGAACTCTGGCTGTTATCGTTAAAGCCTTTCGAGAGAAAACTAACTCCCCGGAACTCCTAAATTAATTCTTGTTCCGATATTGAAAGAATTCATCTCTGTGTTAGTGCAGTTTTACCACAGGCTAGGATAAAGTGACGACTAAGCAGCGAGGAGATAAATGCATCTTTTAAAATCTTAAGTACGTTATTGTGCGGAAATTGTGCTTGACAGGACCCCGTGCATGCCCGAGAGGGAGGTGGGGTAAGTACTTCTTTGTCCCATTTTCACGACTGGATTGACTATAATGGGGTTGCATTCTTTAATGGAGTTACTACAATGGGGTCGCCCATTTTTCGAGATTTTGGGGGTGAGGAAAGTCTCGTATATAGGGATTTAAAAATGGGAAGATTTACAGTCAAAAAGTTGTCACCGTATTTCGCGCTGTTGTTTAACAATCGGTTTGCATTAGAAGTATGCCTTTCCCCTCTGCCGCCCACGCGGGCTGCGAGGTCACGCTTTAAGAGGTCAATAAAAGAAACAGATGACGTGCTTTTGAAACAACTTTCTGCAGATGGACAAGCAAAGAAATTGATACTTTCTCATGTGTCTAACATTCTTTGGTGTAAAATACTCATCTAAACTTTTGTTTGTCATTGACAGGAACTTAATTGGGTTTTGTTTTTGTGTTGTAACAGTCTTCGAAAGCACGCACGCACGCCAGAAACAGATAAGGATTCGAAGTGGATGGGTAGGACCATTAGGCTTGCTAAAGAAAGCTCAAAGAGTTTAATAGACTGGGAATGTTTTTTAAGGACTTAAATCCGGTCGGATTATAGTATTCCGTTTACTAACGCAACAACGTTTCCGCATCAAGGCGCGACTATGATGGTTATAAGCGAAAAGGTCGAATTTTCTGAGAGTCACATTTCAAGCATTTCAGCAGTCAACATTCCTTGGTCACAGAAACGTTGTTCGGGCTTCCCTTAAGTAATCACATCAAATGTAGCAAGAAACAAACACACCCTGTAAAAGTTTTGCATTGTATCATTTGGCCGTCTATTACACATCCTTGTAAGTTTCTAGCAAATCAGTTCTTGCTCTTAGATCCATTTAGAGCAAATTATCAGCAGATATTTACATCTGCATCCCTTGCGAAAACGTTTTCAAACATAGGAATAAAAAGATTAGTATTGCACTGTATTTGCCTGGTTCAAAGAGGGTAATACTTGTGCAGATTCATGTCGTTATTAATAATTTGCAGTATCTGCAAAGCTGAAGGAAACAAAGAGCACAATGTCACGTTTATATCACACGTGCACAGGAAAGCCGCAAGAACATGCTAATCAGTACGTTTACACCAATTTACATCCCTAAATTTTCAACGCGTTCGCTTACTTTGCAACCCGAGTGAATCCAAATTTTCGTGTAGTGTATTTCACCTTTTTTTTTTTTTTCTGTCCTAAACGCAGAAATATCTAATCAATAGGATTCCAAGACAATGAGATCAGGTTTTTGTTTCTTTTTCCTCTCAAAAACACGAAGTTAGTGATTTGTTTGTAAAATACACAGACGCAGTTTATTTGGACAATCTCTTTGTTCAACTTCGTTGCGTTTGAAAGAAATTAAGAAAAATTAGTAAATCCTCAAAACGCGTTCACTGACATGTTTTACTTGATTTAATCTCTCGGTATGTTTGTTTTTTCCGCAAGAATAAAGATGTCAAATTTCAGATCCATTATAAATATGGAATGGAGCCACCCATATGTCCCTTCAAGCACTATTAAGAGGATCTCCAAGAGTTTCTTGTGATGGCTTTGCGGCCAAAATTTTTTTACGGTTAAAATTTTGGCCAATTTACGGCTAACGGTTAATTTCCTTCCATCTTTCTTAAAAGAGCAATTTTTACGATTAGCCATTTTTTAAGACCGATGGTTAAAATTCAAGTTTTAGGCGTAATGGCCATTTTTTTCTTGCCGTCTAACGGCATGAATGCGTTAACTCCCATAAGTGACCAAGACAGAATTTCTGCTCACAATATCAATACTACATAAAACAGAAAGGTGATGAGAAAAAAAGAAAAACACCAATCAGGGGATTATAAGTTGATTCAATTCCATACAACATTCTACAAAATAAAACTATAAGAATCGTATGGCAGACAGCAAGAAAATTTGATATTGAGATCTCGGCACTGGAAGGGTTAAGGGTCGTTCACGCGGCTAACGCTGCACTGAAGAATCTATTGGGCATTGAACTAATTTTTTTTTTTTGTAATTTAAAATATTTCGAGTCCTTCACGCGCAAATAGTATCGATAGGACAAATTGGTTAAACCTCAGAGCTATGACGCGGAGCATAGTTACATTTTTATTCTTGTTGGTTAGAGTGTTGAGCTTAGTAATTGCATGATACATCACTGACCCCCAGTAAAAAGGTTTCCACTCAGCTAATGCATAAAGAAAAAGGAATTGAAGAGCAAATCAGCTTGCATTGAAAAATCCCCTCTCAATGAGTTAAAACT